ATAACAACAGATATGCACTTAATATAGTGGACTTATATAAAAATAGGAAATTGATGCTTTGTATTTCCCTGAAATTTGTATAGGATTATTAATAAAATATTCAAAATTGGCACAGAAATCTCTGTTTGTGAGAAATAAAACTATTTTGTTTTTCAGTTATTAAGAACTTTCTTATCTGTTTCTTTTAGTTGTTCTCATTCAGACCAATGTAATTTAAAAGCTAGGGAACCCAAAGAAATAATTTTGGGTTCTTTGGGTTAATTAAAAGAACTAATTTGCTTTAATTTGGCCCATAACACATCTGTCTCCCTTTAAAACCAAACTTCTCTAAATTGTTAAAGCCTTACATTTATATGAATACCTTCATATTCCCATATACATAATTTACCTCCATCCAATCTTCTTCAAGTATTGACCATTCACTAAGAGAATCCCACAACAGTTGTTTCAACTTCAACTCTGCACAAACTTCCTCCAGGGTATCAAATTTTGTGACTTCCACCTTTCAAGAAAAATTGAAATAACTGAAATAAATTCATTTGAAGACCATATGTTAAAAATGTGATACATACTTTAAGAAAATTACAATACAAAATACTGATAAATCTGAAGAGTTATTTAACCAACTAAATTATGATCTCTGGTTTGATTTTTAATAAGGCAGCATTCTTTGGAGATAAAATTAAATGCTAATGAAGTCTCTCTCCTAGTCCCACAGAAAAAGAAAAGGAAAGAGGAAAGAAGGTGAGACTACAGTAATGCTTTGTTAGGCCTAATGTAGATTGTGCATATATTTTTAAACCATGCCTAAGAATAAGAGTGCACAAAAAACAAACATAACTTGTTCTGAGCTTAAACCCAGCTCTACTTGAAAGACTGTATAGGAACATTTAACACTGCCTGTATTCTGACAGGATAAAATTTAAAATGGCTCAAGTGTTCTGCCACAGGAAACAATGAGAAATTGAAACAAGGTTTTTGCTCACTTGTTTTGCGTCCCAGGATCACAGAGGAGGTAACATTTAATTTTACTTCCGTGCTTACTGCTACTGCAAATTGCAGTCACTGTACTAGTAACCTTTCTATTTGCAAATCAAAAACACTGGCAACACTGGCGTGTAAAACACATATGGGCATACACCTTGGCATTTAGCTGCCTTCTTTTACCTGCATTTACTTTTTCACTTTTTTTTCTTTTTTGCAGGCAAGGTTACCTGCAGGCAGTCCATACAAACTCTTAACTACTGACCAATATGAACTTTAACTTCCACATGAAAAAAAAAAAGCAGTAATTTAACAGCCAGGTAAGTTGGTGTTTGCAGATAGTTTTCCTTGCAACATTCACAACAGTAGCAGAGATGTAACCTGCCCATCCTGTAATACTAGTTAGACTGGGAAAAGCTTGAAAAAAGGAACCATGTCACAATCGCAATACAACAATGGCCCAAATACAGCTTTCAGAATAGTCAGAATGCATGAAAACCTTTTCTCTGAGCAAAATTCTTGGAACAGATAGGCTTTGTTTTGAGCTCAAAACACTTGAACCAGCTGTCTTGAAGCTGAAATGTTCTGCACACCACCAATCTAGAGCTATGCTATGATCCACCCAGTATAAGTGACAACAGCCTTAGACTGCAGAAGGCAAATGCACTACACAAAAACCTCAATTAAGCCTGTAGGAGAGCCTCTGAATGACTTCTCTTAAAAGAGGAGATTTGATTATCAAATCTTTTTTCCACAACTCCAAAAATCCATTTCAAGGATTTTATGTTCAACGGTTCCTATCAGATTATTTTTAAAAGCCTATATAAGCAACTCAATAGGATGCGTCTTTGTCATGTTGTGTACAAATAAATGTCCGCGACAGTCACATCAAACAGCACTCCACCTCTCAACTGCTACAGAATATCAGTCAAGATTCTGGAGGTTAGTTTGGATTTTTGGTGGAGTAATTTGAACAGCTACAAAAGCTTGGCTTTAGATGTGTGATTGACTCCACAGCCATTATGAGACGGATTATAAAAAAGCCTGTTTGCACAGATTGAATTAGTCCAGATGTAATTTAACACACTAATTAGCATGGGACTGTTATGGTTCCATATACTGCTGTGAATTATGAACAAATGTTTTGAATTAACGACGAATATTTATTCACTACACACTTAAGAACTGCATCCAGTTATCAAAGCTATTCCTGTATTTTCTGCTGTAGCCTTGTTTATTGCCCTGTGCATAGGTGTTTATTATTTGTGTGGTTACTTCAATGCTTTCATATGAACCAGAAGGGTAAGTGCTGAGTAGAGTGCAGAAAAGGAATGAAAACACTCCAGAATCCCTAATAAGGAAATGTTATTATTCTTAGAGAATGACCTTGGACAGTACATTTTAATTCTACTCTCTTCAACGCTGTATTACAGGAACCAGTAGGACTCAGTTATACAATCAGAATCAACAAACCACTTGCTATTATTTCAATAGAACCATTCTGGAATATGCAGAATTAGGATAATAGCCTTATTAAATAAATTAAATAATGGATATAAGGAATTCAAGCACTTTTCCCTAACTCTGATTTCATCCTCATTATGCCCCTATGAAATTGGTTAGGCTCAAGGCATTCAACATTTTATAACAGAATAGGAATTTGAACCTGGGCCTCCCATTGCAGACCAGTGCTACCACTAATATAGTGCGCTGTCTCATAGGTCATGAAATGCTTGGTTTTGCAAATCGTAATTTGAACGCCCATCTACAAATCAAACATGGAGTTCTAAACAAATTACCTTGAAGTTCTTCTGATAGGATTTATACTGGAATGCACGCTTTTGTATTTCATCAAGAATGGTTTGCAACTCGCCTAGAACTAGTCTCACTCTATCTTGATCAGCATCTGCATCCAAAATCTGAGGATCCTATTAAAAATCAAAAGTCATTTTTATAATCAGCTATCATTAAGGTTAAATAAAAATGCTGTACATCAAGCTATAAAATTAAATTCGGTGGAGCACACAGATTCTGTTCAGTGTGCAGTACAATGTAAATGCAATTAATTTTTTCTGCTTGATTTAATTCTTACTACAAGAAGCACCAAGTAACACTGCCCAATTTTTCTCCATTATTAACTGAAAAAAGAGCTAAACAAATATTTATTGCAATACAGTATTTGATAAAACAGCAGGGATACATAATGGATGGCTCTACCAACAACTCTGTCAACTGCTCACACAGGGAGGGAGAGAATTGAGGAGTCTTTTGCTCATGTGTCTGATTTTCCAAGAATGAGTTAGTGGGCACAGTACATACTGCTCACCCTTCAAATTCTATCCAGTTCAAACAATTAAAATTATCTATTAAAAGTGGGGCTGTAAAGATTTTCCTATCACTTTTAATGGGCCATTAAAATAGGTTTTCAGAATGAAATCAAAGCTTCATTCTGAAATCAAAGTTTTCAGAATGAAAAAAAAGCTTCATTCAAAAACCCAAAGTCCTTGTGGAAAACCTTATGCATGAAGTTCCTTACACTGAATCTATTGGGTTACATTGCTTCTCTTCATTCTTTGTCACAGCTTTTTCATTGCCTTTTTATGCAAGACATATTTTTAATACCAGATGCTGAACCTGAGAATTTTTGCTGGGAAAGCATAGCTCTATCACAGAGCCATGGTTCCCTAATAATGGTAAATAAGTAGTAAATAATAACAACTAAATATAGTAATTCAGTAATGTAGGAATATGAAAAATAATTAATACCTGTGCAAGAAGTCTAACTTCTTTAACTTCTTCATTTAGTTCCTGAACATCTTCATCTAGAAGTTGACAGAATTTAATAATGCTGGCATCTCTTTCACCTACAGATTTATCAATTGCATTACGAACAGCAATGATAGATGGCTTCAGACTTGAAAACAAAGCAAAATCTTCAGGAGGAGCTGGTACAGTATACTGTTCAATGAGCTGATACATCTTACTAACTACTTTTGATTCATCTTCAAGAATTTCAATCTAAGGGAAAGTAAAAACAAATTATGTTTCTGTTTGTTTGGAAAACATACTTTGACAGGTAATCTTAAATCAAT